TAGGACTACCATATGGGAGTGGAAACAGCATACCTTTATTGAAGTCTTAGAATATTATGTACTTCCATATTTGAAATTTCTATTATAGAGGCGTTTGTCCATCATTCGACAAAATAAGTCATTGTCATGTCATAAGTGCAAAATACACAAGACCGCACGCACATTTCTACAAGTCTAATAAGATCGTGATTCAAGGTGCATGGAATAAACATAATCTATGAAGGAGTTAGAGCTTGCCCTTACAACTATTTTGTCTTTTTTTTCTTATTGCAACCCAAACTTGAGGTTTTATTCAAATAAAAATACAAACAGATAGATAATAATGGTATAAATGATGTAAAGTTTGATAAATAAACATATGAATAACGAATAAATTATTACACATTATAAAATAGATTTGAGTAAGCTCGTGAGTACAATATTTTATAATGAATGTATATAACAGCAGAAGTAATGAGGATATGGAGCAGTTTAAAATGAAATTTATAATAGTAATGCATGTTTTTAAAGCCGTCAAACATTTTTACATTCAGAAACGAGTTGTGGGTGATGGTAACGTGTATTGTCTGTTAAGAGACATAAAAAAAACATTTTGGGGGCAAATCTTTGCAGAAGTGTGTCTTACATGACATTCTCTTAATTTCAAATTATGATACAATTTAATTGAAAATTTTCCATCACATTTTTGGCGAATTCTGGGCTCCCAACACTATTTTTTAGAAGGGCTTTAAATGCTAAGAAGTTCAAGGGCATTCTGAAACGATAGTTCTGGTGTTATGATTCTTAGAGCCCTTTTCTGAATGGATTCTAATGTTCTATTATAACCTGCGCCGTGCGAAATGGAACTATATTGTATCAGGGAAGAATGAAACCTTAATACATGTTTGAAGTTATTCTGCTTTACGTCGATGCTGTGACATTTCTGCTGTGGCGAGTTTTTTTTTTCTTCTTTCATTATTCGAGATAATCAATAGACCATTTTCGTAATGCAACCAGCACATGTAATGCATGCGTCTTTGTGAGGTGCCTCGAGGCAGATTATGTCATTCATCTGTTACGAATAATTGTATTCAATAGTTAGAATGCGAGCTGCAATGCTGCATACATTAGTTCTTGCCAGGTAGGACAAATATAATGCCTTGGCAGCTTGCTCTACCTAATAAGGGAGTTTACAGATAGCACATGGTACAAATGACCCCAAATATCCACAGATCTTTACACAAGGAGAAGTTCCACTTTGAGCATATTAGAATAATAACTGCCAAAGTCCTAGATGTGCTTCATGAATACCTTTTGTTTGCCCTCTTGAAAAGAATACTTCCACCTGCGTATCATAGAATGTACCGTTGGTGCATAAATTAATAATGTTATATAACTTTCATGAGCGCATATCCAGTATTCATCTCTGTGGGTTTTACCTTTTTGGTACAAATGACCTTTATCTGCCCATGCGCAGATTGTATCTGTAAACTTCCTTATAACACGTAACGTATGCATTTTGCTTTCCGACTATTGAAATACAATTATTCATTACAGGAGATAGTATATTTGTATTGATGCACTTCACCACTACGTACGCACTAATTCTGATGACATTACGAAAACAGTCTATTCATTGTCAGTCATGATTAGACAGCATTATGCAGGAGACTGCATAAAAATCGTGGCGTAAACGTGTTATCAAAATAATACAGAAATTTGTAAGGTGTGGGATATTCCAATTGGGAATAATAATAATGAGATATTTCTATACCGCAAATTGCATACCTTGTAAATCCTCTAAGCGGTTTAGAAGGAAAATATTTGAAGTAAAGGAAAGTAAAGTAAAGGAAATAGAATTTGCACTGCAAATTACATCAAATCAATTATCATTAGAACTTTGCAAATGAAAATATAACTAAAGCATCGTTACCTATGCCATGTGATTTGGAATTATGATAAGAAAATACCATTAAAAGGTCTCGAAAATATCTTCCAATAATTCTTTAAAGCATCTAATGAAAGCCTTCTGATAGGTGATTGTTTTTAAGGAATATCAAGACCTTGCATGCTGTTTCTATTTGGCATTCTTTGAAATAATCATGCCTTTCATCTCGTAAAACCTCCCGAGAGCAGATAAAGTTGTGAATACGTATGCGTTAAAATATCACTAGGTGTTCGTTTCCTTTGGATGTTATAATTTCGCTAACACTTTGGAAGATTATTTCACCAGAGCCAACATTAAACAGCTTTTGTAATCAGTTACAGCTATATGGGGAACGTGTGGCAAATGATTCGTCACCTATTCCACATGCAGGTACAGTCTGTAACTGTCACTTAATCCCCCTCAAAATGTCATTTCGTATCAGGAAGGTGCTGGAGAGTCGGACCAAATTCAAGAAGGTGACACACTGGCTCACGCCAAGCTGAAGTCTGGTATGAACGTCCCCCAGACAGCCATCTTTATTGCCAGCCAGATATCAGGTCTCGCTGTGCTTGTTGTTCCCCCTCTTCTGGTAGACAGTGGTAAGTAACATTCAGCAGCTCATTGTATGTCATCACTTACCAATTTCATAACATTCTTTTAATCCTTTAATCTAGCTTATCTTCTTTTAATTCATTGACCGATAATGAAGGTATTGGTAGTTCTGCTAATTTATTTGTATTCGATGAGGTTGACTCTGATTCTGTTAAGAAAATCATAGCAAATCTGGATACCTCTAAGTCAACTGGTGTTGATGAAATCAATGTAAAACTAATAAAAAAATGCTGGTGACGCGATAATTCCTAGCATCACCCAACTAATAAATTTGTCATTATCGTCTGGTACATACCCGGATGAATGGAAACACGCGAAAGTACTTCCATCGTACAAAAAAGATGACATTAATGCAATACCAAATTACCGCCCAATCTCCATTCTCCCAACTCTTAGTAAAATTTTAGAGAAATTGGTTAATCGGCAGCTCTATGATCATCTCGTCTCCAATAATGTGCTTTCCAATACACAATTTGGATTTAGACCCGGTCACTCTACCTCCTCAGCACTTAGTGCTCTAACCGATACTTGGGTACGTGCTATTGACAGTGGCAAAATTATTGGTGCTCATTTTGTAGATTTAAAACGAGCGTTCGATACTGTTGACTCATCTATTATGTTAGCCAAATTACACAAAATTGGATTAACTAATGATACTTTATTATGGTTTCAATCCTACCTTACACATAGAAAACAACAAGTCTCAATTAGACAAACTTTGTCAAAGGAACGTTCCCTATCTATAGGAGTTCCTCAAGGCTCAATACTGAGCCCCCTTCTATTTCTAATTTATATTGACGATATGGTCAATGTTTTTAGGGAAGGTAAAGTCATAATGTATGCAGATGACACCACTTTGTATGTCACTGGAACTTCGATCAGTGAATTGGAAAATAAATTGCAACACGAAATGAATGCAATAGGTACATGGATAAGCAACAACAGGTTGCATTTAAATACAGGTAAAACAAAGTTTATGATTATAGGGAGTAAACAAAAACTTAGTACCTGTAGTAATGACAGTATCCGCATCACTTACGATGGGGTTGAAATCAATCAATGTGCAAGTTTTAAATGTCTCGGGATAATAATAGATAAACATTTATTATTGCATGAACAAGTTGATTCTGTATGTAAACAAATATTTGCCGGTCTTGCGATGTTAAAAAGAATTCGACCTTTTGTAGAAAATGATACTCTAAAATTATTATATACATGCCTCATTCAATCACAGATGGATTACTGCTGTGAGATATGGGGAGATCGTTTTAATATACATGTAGTTCGAATTACTAAACTTCAAAAGAGGGCAGCCCGTCTGATCCTTCGGTGTAATATTTATAGCCCATCTAAGGAAATGTTCTCAAGTCTGAACTGGATACCTTTCAGATATCGAATAAGTTATTTCCGTTATATTTGTTTATAAATGCTGTCAAGGCCTCTCTCCTGATTACTACTCAAATTATTTCCAAGAGTTAAGTAGAAAACATGATAAAAATACGAGGCAAGCCGCCAGACACGATCTTGTCGTTCCCAAATGCCGCACTGAGTACTGCAAACACTCTTTATATTTAAATACCTATGTCTAAATTTGTGGAATAATTTGCCGGTTATTATACGGGAGTTTCCCTCTTTGGTATCTTTCAAATTTAATCTTAAACAATATCTCAAGTCATTCTATGGCACCTAGTTACTCACCAATAGTCTGTTTCATAATTGTTTAAATATCTTTATTTTCTGTTACTCGGTATTGTACTTTAAATATTTGATTATTCTATATTGCAAACATTCACCTTGATATATTTCAATGTTTTTACATTCTCTTTTTAAACTATTTACTTGGCATTATTGTGTATGTACTTTGAATGATTTTATTTGAACATATTGTGTTGCATTCATGTATGTATGTTTTTAGGGGCCGCATGGGAGACCAACTGATGTTGAATGGGCTACCCCGTACGAATAAATAAAAAATAAAAAAAATAAAAAAAAATAAAAAAAATCATTAATCTAGCTTATCTTCCTTTTAAATCCATCACTATTGATGATAGAGAAAATTAAAAAGAGATGAATATAAATATATATATTTATTTTATACAGAGAGAGAGAGAGAGAGAGAGAGGAAGAGAGCGAGAGAAAGAGAAAGAGAGAGAGAGAGAGAGAGAGAGGGGGGAGGGAGGGAGGTAGGGGTTGTCCGAATAATAGCATTACAATTCAGTCATCAAATGTCTTTCAGGGCATATATACCATCAAAACGAATGAAAGGTTTTAGGATTATCTCTTTATCACAGTCAGTAAAAAATAATATCTTGACAAAAAAATCCGAAGATTCACTTATCTTTATAGTCTATGTATTCTTGTTTCTCTTCAAATCTGTGGTTTTGTGAGCGCTATGATACTTAATGTTTCCAGTGCCCTATAAAATATTCGACCCTACTACCATCTCACATTAATGCTGCATCTTATTACCCATCCAGGTTGGCCAGGTCTCTTCATCTATCCTCTTGTGGCTTCACTGAGCCTTTACACCGCCATCTTGCTCGGTCGATCATGGAATATCCTCTGTAAAAGAAAACCCGAGCTATGTCGGGATTGCAGACTACCCTACTCGGCATTAGCGGAGAGGCCTACGGGCAGATTGGAAAGTATGTGTCATGCATGGTCACGATCGTAAAGCCTTTCGAAAATCAACTCAAGGACAATAAGCGAGTTCGTAAATAGCTTTGGAACGCATGACCTCAAATATCCACAGATCTTAGACACGATGGATACTTCCCACCTGTGCGTTTTAGAATAATCACTGCCAAAGTGATGGAGGTGCTTCATGAATACCTTTTGTTTGCCTCTTGAGAAGAATACTTCCACCTGTGTATCAGATAAATGTACTGTTGGTGCATAAATGAATACTGATTACATAACTTTCATAAGCACGATCCGAGTATTCGTCTCAATGGTTTTACAATTTGGGTACGAATGACCTTTATCTGCCCATGCGCAAATCCTAATTACGAACTCGCTCATTGGAATACCCTACTCTGTATCCCATAGAGTACTAAACAGTGATAGACATATGATTAGGTTATGTAAAACGTCATTGTGAAGCTCGCACATTTCAGAAAGTGATGGGTAGGGCTATTGAATGGGCGAAGGTCGATTATTCAAAGGTCTTTGCGATCGAATTAATGACAAATGCTTAAAAAAGCAGACTATACTCTATTGTACAGACAAGTTCATTTTCCCATATCATCAATATATGAATTGGCAGACGTCAACAAATCAATTTGTAATGAAACCCATAGGACATGAACAATATACGAGCTCCAGGGTTGTCCCGCGACATCAAACAAGGAATGATCAGCTGTACATGTTCACATACATGTAAGCAGAATCGCAGGCAGGGAAACGTATACTAACGTCAGAAAATCGATAAGTCTAGATATAAACAGTTCACAATCGAATGTTCTGAAAAAGAAAGCAAAATTGTTCGATAAAGATAATTTCAAAAGCATTCATGTTGTGAAAGCTTCTGAATTAATATAACGTTTGATAGTTCCTAAAAGATTATTATGAATGTTCGACATGAATAATGAAATGCTTTACGTACCCAAAGTATTATATTTTTAACTCTCCTTATTCGTTGAATCCCTTAAATAGTAAAATAGTTAAGTATTTTTCGCTCTAATGGTTACATCTCTTTTCCTTAAAGAAACAAATCTATCATCAAATCATCGTTATTCTTCTTGTCTTTCTGCGCAGGCGCGTGATCTCGTTCACGATTGGTCTGATCTCGTTGGCGTCCACCTGTACGTTCTTACTGGGCGTGTCGGAGCTGATGTTCTCTATCATCTACCCTTACCAAACCTTCAGCTTCTGCTACTGGCCTCTCATCATATTCCTCATAGTGTGTCCTCTCCTATGGTTTTCTGGCCCAAAGGAACTATGGTAAGGACTATGCGGACTCCACAAGAAGATTGAACGATCCAAACTATTTCATTTGTAGAAATATACATCCATCCAACTGTTGAGTGAAAATTAACTATTTTATTGAATAATGTTAAATGAGGTTGAAATAATGAGCTGAAGAGGCTACAAAATTCATGTTTTCAAAAATAAGGGGACACTTTGCGAAAGGTTAAGTGTAAAATTACACATTTTCATGAATTGCAGAGAAATTGGCCGCGTTTTTACAAACCAGGTTTGTAAAAAACGTGTCAAAACGCGTCCTCCTTGTTGAATTCGGGCCAAAGAAATTCCATAAGAATTTGTGCGTGTGCGTGTGTGTGCGTGTGTGTGTGAGAGAGAGAGGGAAAGGGGGATGTCGCTTGATCACTCATTTTGAAAGATGCGTGGGACTTGAGTGGCATGCCCTTCCCCAGGCGCGTACGCAGGGGGGGGGGGGGGGGGTGTTTTGGGGGTCGAACCCCCCTCAATTTTTTTTTATGTGTGTTTTTTTATGAGGACTTTGTGTGCTAAAAGGTGACCTAAAATAGTTGACCTTACCCCCCCCCCCCCCCCCCCCCCAACTGAACGCAATATCGGTCGGCCAAATATTTCATCTCCCCCTCCCCCGCTTATTCAGCGGCTGGCTGTGTCCTTGCGAAATTTTTGGCGCGATTTTCAAATTTTAACCCCCCCCCCCCACCCCCGAAAAAATCCTGCGTACGCCCCTGCCCCCCCCCCCCCCCTTGCCCACCACCTGTTGTCGCCCTTGAAATGATACTTATGGTATTTGTGCCAACACTTGGTTTCGGACCCGAGAGTTTACGATTTTGAGACCATTGAAGTCGACGTAGACTCGAGACTTGTATGATCCTCATTGTGTGGGATATTAAAACCAAACCTTCTAAAAAAATAGATCCAAAGTAATACTCTACTGAATATTGTTATTACTATTCCAAATGCCAATGGAGTTATGATGACGTCAATGAATATCTTGATGAAAACACTTGCACTTTGTCACACTATTTTGTAAACCAAGATTCTCTTTTGAGATGACATTTGAGTTGTTTTTAACGCACTCTAATGTTGATGGAAAAATACCGTGCGGCAACCACGGCGGTATACCCATTATAACCGTTACAAAAGAATGTTTGACATAAAAGAATGATTGTCATAAATACGAAAACAAGCTAGGCTAGTAGACGCATCATGCATGATTTTCCCGAATGAATACGCAATCTCATGAGAGGGACGGCAAATTCATGGGGGAATAAATACATGACTTGCATGTATCTAGGATTTATAATGCCAGATTGGGTTCAAGAACGATCCCTTTCCCTGGATTCGTCCCCGACCCCCCCCCCCCCCCCCCCCCCCCTCTGAGCAAAATGTCCGGTAAAGGGGTACTTTTCGTGCGACAAAGTCCGGCCCGAGAATTGTAAAAAAAAAGGGGGTGCATTTGACTTCTCACCCGGAGATTTCTTTGAAAAGGGGGCGTTTTTTTTTCTCTCATCTCTTTGGACTCCTGAGAAATTATTCCGAATTTAGGGGGGGTACATTGAGCATTTTTCCGGATTTAGGGGGGTCTCCAAGGCAGGAAAAACCCGCGAAAAGCCCGCGAAAGGGGGGTTCGGAAATGTTGTTAGTCCTGAGATAGGGGGTGCTTTCAAAAAGAGGGAACAAGCATACGCGTACCCTAAATAACACTGAGTGGAGGGGGGGGGGGGATTCGTCACTTGGTCAGCTAGGAACAGAAGGGCTTCTAGTCATGGTTTGGATCTTACAACATCATCAATGTTGTATTCTACACAGTGGTAAAAACTAGTGGGAGCAGTGTGGTATATTGTTGACAGCTCTTGTCTGTTAATACGAGAGATTCAAGGTTCGATCCTAGATTGGTGCTTACATCCTTGGACAAGGCGTTTTACCACCATTTTCCCCTCTCAACCCGGGTGTATGGAATGGTCAACTGATAAACTAGTACATGACACTTGAAGGGCCCTCAGAAAGAACATAATCCTGTTGGTGCTATATTGGGTTAATAACACCACGTTATCATTCAACTTATTAATAAATATATTTCTTCATATTTTTCCATATTTGTTTTGAATCAGGGAGGTGGGAGCAGTCGGAACCTTCGCTACATTCCTCGGTTCTTACATCATGGCGATCAAAGCATTCGGTGTGTTAGGTGGGGTGTCCAACAGACCCCTCACCATCATCACGCACTCTGCGGCTTCGGACGGCGGATGGAGCGGCTTCTTCGGCCTCGTCGGGTCCTCGTTTTTCCTGACGGGTCCCCACTACATCATGCCCACCATACAGAGGGATATGGCCGAACCGCAGTATTTTACGAAGGCTATAGTCAGAGGAATGGGGAGTAAGTAAAAGGCAATGTCAATGAAGGGTTCTTCTTCTAAATGCATGTTCAATTCTACCATATCAAGAATTTTGATCAAGAAAGACTAAGCATAGGTTTCTTAATAATATTGAGAACTCCCTTTACTCCCTGGACAACATTTTGGGTGACGAAATATAACGTTGAAGAGTTACTATCATTTGTCGGCAAATTCATATCAACAAATTTCATTAAAGATACTTTTGCCGTCATTGAATTCAGAATATCTCATTTCCTTGCTATTTGGGAACTTGTCAAGCAAGCTAAACGTCTGACACGCCTACTTGTATTGTTTTAGCCACGCCCTTGCCTCCCCGGTTGATCCAGAGACATCTTCCACTAATCCATGACCAGTAATACAGACACTCCTTCAGTAAATATCTCTGTAATATAGTTACGAGTCTGTAGACCAGGCATGGCCATTCCAAGCATCGATGTAATTATTGTCCTTCTGTGTTGATGTCTTTAGTCCAGATGCTTGCGATGTTCATCCTGGTAATACCAATCTGGCTTGCCTTCAGCGGCCCCTTGGCTGAGATAGGGTATGTGGAGAGCGTTCTCAATGCCGTGCAGGCCGGCCCAGTCCGTACCGTCGTCTCTGTGCTTCTACTCTTTCACTTCGTAGCCGTGTTGGTCATGAGTAACAACCCTCTTTTTCAAGAACTAGAACATAAATTCGATATACCGCATGGTAAGTGTAATAATTGGCTAATACAGGAGGTAAAATATGGGATGTGGATGTATCTTCAAAGAAGGAGGTAAAATATGGGATGTGGATGTATCTTCAAAGAATGACATTTATTGTTTTTAAGCTATAGTGCCTTTCATGACAATGGCCGCTTATGGCTACACTCTTTTTAATATAATTATCGACCACGCCCATTTTAACACAATAATATCACCTATGCCCATTTCGACCGGGGGCGTTTCATGAAAATAGTCGGTGGTTTCCACTGACTAATATCATTTTCCCCGACAATTCTGTTGTCATCGACTATTTTTCAGGCCTCTGATTGGTCAAATTCAGTCAGCGCTGACAGTAATTGTGGGCGTACAAACGTCGATGAAACGTCCCTGATCAACTGTAGCGATCACGACCATACATAAATTAGCGATTTCAAGCATACCGAACGAGCCCATTATAACGGTTTCAATCATACAGACCATGCCCATTAACATTTTGACCACGCCCCGTTTTTTACTTTGCCCTCCTTCTTCTCTTTTAACTTTATCATTCTGTGATAATGATCAATGAATACATTCTGCCAAATAAAATACTGGGCAATCGTAAACAAATCTTATATTAAACTCATAACTATAGGCTCTAGGTTTTTAATCATTAAAGTACAAATGTTTTTCATTATCTGATCATAGACATTGTTTTCGTCCTTTTTACAATAATTTCAGCATTTAACTGGAAGCGAATAGTTCTTCGCACGTGCATTTTTTTGTTGGAGTTCTTCATCGTGGAAACATTCCCTCACTTTGCCATTGTGACGTCATTAACAGGTGGCATTTTTCTTGCCGGGCTATCAATGGTGGCGCCAATTTTCATCCATCTAAAACTCCGCATGATGGAGACGGCCGATGACCCGGATGAAGCGTAAGTGTCATGTATCAGTTGCAAACTAAGTACATAATCATTACACAGGAAAACTGTAGTGTATATATAAAAACACTTGATACGCCGCATTACTTATTTTCTCAGTGCTCAATTCCCGAATAAATGATGAAGGAAACTAAAAGCAGTTGTTCAAAAACGTTTTGATGAAGACTTTATGATTACAGGGCAATTATTGTGTTAATCATCTTCAGGTTAGAGAATATATACCAGAGGCGTATTAAAGTAAAGCATTTTTAATTTTGCTGAAGCTCCCATTGTTCTACTGTATCTTCCTCATCCGATCCGGGGCTCATCACAATTAAAGTACACCACCCGGTTTACTGCGAAATCACCTTTAATGTTTCCAATTAATTGAATTTTGTATCATTATTAAAATTATTATTATCGTAATTATTATCATTAATATTATAATAAGAATTATGACTACTATTTTTATTCGTATCATTACTATTAAAATAAGAATTATTATTATTATCAAAAAAAGTAATTGTCGTCACCTGTGCCTGAGAGGCGAAGAGCAAACTAAATAACTGGGTCCAGTGTCTCACCATGGACGAACTGATTCGCGGTGTGCAGGTGGACCACCATATCAGGACAATTACCGCCTGGACAATCACCCCCTGGACAATCACCCCCGGAAAATTACCCCCAAGGACATCCACCCCGGGGTACAATTACCCCCCCCCCCCCGAAAATTACCACCCCCCCCCCCGAAAATTACCCCACCCCCTGTTCATTAAAGGAGAAGTCCACCCTGATAAGTTGGTTTTAATAAAAGCAGCATTATTCGGAGGGTAATTGTCCCCCCCGGGGGGGGGTGATTGTCCAAGGGGGTAATTTTCAGGGGAGGGGGAGGTAATTGCCCTAGGGGGTTGGTTGTCCTTGGGGGAACACAGGACCTCCATTTAAAGTCCTATCCGAGGGGAAGCCTATATCAAGAAAATAAATGATTTCACGTAGTCACTTTCTTCTTTTTCCCCTCTTCATCTATCTAGTGGTATCTCGATGCCGGACAAGTTAGTGTGTATTCTTTCGGTGCCTGCCTACCTACTCATGGTCGCTGGTGTTATTTACTACGCCAACTTCAACATACACAATGGTGTTACGGTGCTAACTGTACCGTGTTATGTCAACGCCACCGCGGCTCACGTTTAACACTACACCATCGCAATCGAACAAACTAAAGAGGCTGGTTTTGTGTCCGGTGTTCATGTCCAGTGTTCACGTCCGGTGTTTATGTTGGTGTTAACAACGTACAGTGGCTGTATGGTTCAGTGCATGGTTCAATGATATAATTATGTTTAAATGGGCGTGGTTGATAACAAAAAAAATGACACTAAGGCCAGTGGTGTTCAGAATACTTATGACTTAACACCAAGGCACGATGGCAATTTGTGCCTGTAAAGTTTGGTAACTATTATACCTGGCAAGACGGTGATTGCAATGCACTGCTAGCAGACTTAATGGTGTTGTAAGAAATTTAAAAGAACCAACCGAGTAAAGCTAATACCGCATGCAAATCTGCTTGCAACAAAATGTACTTACACTAGGAAAGGAAAGGAATACGAAGAAGAAAACAAGAGTTTGAGCGAAAGACGGAATTTTTATTGGAAATTTGTAAAAGCCTCTTACATATTGATTAATCAGGATGAAGATGATAATCATGTTTTGCCAGTATTTATGTCAGGCTGCGATGTTTGTGATGTTGATGATATCGTTTATTATAATTAAATATTGATGACAATGATCATAACAGTAATTCTGAGATGATTGAAATTAAACATTCTATAAAATATGCAGGGCATTCATGATATCATGCCAGTAAACAATTCTATTTTCAATCAAAGTGAATTTTCGAATGTATCCCCTGTACTTATAATGCTGTATTTCTAGCATCCTTACAGTTGAACTTAGAAAACCTCGTGTGTAACTACTGAATGCTGTTCTGGAAGTATTATTGCTTAATGTCAATGTTGGCTCTAGAAAGTCAGACTTAATATAAAGCAAAAGCTCAAGCCAAATTCACAAGGCAATATTTTGTATTCACGAATAATATCAATTGAATCACACTCTATCTAATACTAGGTTTACATGTACTTATGTTTCATCTGAACGACAAATTTCTCTCCTAAATTTATCCTACTTTGTTTTTTATGAATGATATTGAAATCTTTCTCTTTATAATTGTTATGCATATATTTCATGCTGTACAATAATTTCCTCTCCTCAATTTCTCATTATTTTATTTTCAACAAAATCTTTAAAAATTTAATAATAAAAAGTAAATAATCTGTTTGATTAGTACAAAATAATTTGTATTAAAATAACGAAAAGATGAAGATAGCTATATGTATTCGACAAACACTTTGCCAAACTATTCTAAATTTTTCTACTTAGTTATAAACTGTCGGATGTCAAAGAACTGACAAATAACGATGTATGACGTATGCAATCACCGTTGATTACTATTATATTACAAGTATGTAAAGTGTTATCATGTTAAAAAGTGCATTGGAAAAAGAGTATATCATGTAGCTAAGATAGTGTTAAAAGAGAATGGTTTTTCATGTTTGTTTAAGGCGTAGAATTTAGTCAGAAAACACTTAATTTAGTAACTAACCTGAATATTCTGAAACGGGTGTGGGGAGAGATCACAGGATGACTCCAATTTTAGGAGGTTTTTTTTTAATGATTCTGGTCTTTTCCTTTTTTTAATTACCAAGAAATATACAAACGCCTGAACGTTCAAATGCTTTAGCCTGTTGATGAAAGAAAGTAAGAACATCTCTTACATTCAGTTTGATTTAGCTACAATGTGTGCTGCATTAAAAAGAATGAAAATAGGTGAAATAATTTATCCCCACTGTTATTAGTACTATTAACGTATTTTTGAATATTGTAGTTCCGAGTATATAGGTATACAAAGTGAAGCTTATGTTGTGTATATTTTGTTTTAAACCGTGAAGAATAGTATGGATAATTTATATCAAATTATATATTTATTATATATTTATTATATTGTGTTAGCTTGTGTTACTTAGTGCAACAGTTTAATGATAGTGATTTTCGTTGTTACCACTGAATGTGTGGGGGCGACACGCTACATACAGAAGAGATATTCTACAATGTTTACTTGTACAGTATCATGCGAGGAAGCGTAGCGACCGAGCGAGAAGGTTTTCCGGATTTTGTAGTTGTTGAATAGTTTAAACGATATTGTATTCTAGAACACTTATTATGAACCTAGAATGTGTTGAACCCTTTACTTATTGAACCCTTTACTTGTTATTAGTGTTACATGTACTTGCATCTTTTCAACATTTAAGGGGGGATTAGCGCAGACAATTTTCCGGGGAGACGTGCCCCTCACCGTCCCCGGGATTGCCGCCCATGTTCCCAATAGTTTCAGCCAAGCCTATCTGACATTTCGGTTTTTGGGGTCGCTGTTAGTCTCCTGGTGTATATGCCTAACAATCTAACAGATTTAATGTACTTAATCCAAAGGGGTGCAACAGCATCATCTTTTTCGAAAAGGGAGTATTTTATTTTCTTCATAGAAATGGGAATGCAGAAATATTAATTTATTCCACAAACCTATTTTCAAAGTTGATAAGACTCTTGGGCCAAGATAGCACGGCATTCAAACGAACATTGCCGAAAGTGAAGGCTTTGAAGCGTGTTATGCAGTGGCCCTCGGGCCTCGGTTACTCACAAGTGAAAAGAAACTTTCAAAACGTGGACTTCCATCTCATAATAACACACAAAATGACTAGCAGTTGAGCATCCAACAGTATTACCAAAGCAAATACAAAGCATAGTTGTAATCATTTCACAACATACTTTTGCTATATTTCCCAACATCTCAATTCTATCCGCATGCACTTTTCTTTGTTGGATACAGATTTTTATTCTTAGCATTCGTTTTCATCTTACAGTTCATTTCCGTGACTTGTGCCGGACTATTGTATTCGGCTGTTACCATTCATTGTGTGAAATTGCAGATTGTATTGAATGTATGAAGGCAAGAGTGGGGTGATTGTCATCCATTATGTCTTTGCCAAACGCGCCAAAATTATCAGCCAAACATTCCCGAAAGATTATGATAAAAATTACTGCTTTCTCTTCGCGTCAGAAATATTAGAGAAGTGTGTGAACTTTATCCCTTTCTTTAAAATACACTCCTTAAAGATACACTAGCACTGCCCTTGTTGTTAACCTAATTAACATTATATTGCCCGACCTAACACCAATCTGCGATCTGACTATCAATACACAATATCTCGCAATATGTCAATGTATATAATTGTAATACTTTGTCAGTATGCAAATTTAAAAAAAGTGTGCATTAAATGTGAATGCATTGTGCATATTGTCTCTCCAATATGTGATAGAAGAGGGAAATTCATGGTTTTGCTAGAAGAATGGAATATTGAAGAAAAAGTTAATTAAAACATAAATGTTAGGCCAAAGTGATTAATGAAACTACGCGTTGCCAACTTTATGTACAATGTATTTTGCTACAAGTATTAAATTGTTGATATTGTGTGACATTGAATAAAGTGCGATCAAATGATTAAAGTTGTTTTTCTTATTGTTTATTTCTGAAACACTGTTCCTGACAACAATGAAGCTGGGCAGAATAATAAACGGCATTGGCGGGATAGATATGTTCCAATCAAGACTAGACGGGTGAAAGTCAAGGTCGTCATCCCCCCCCCCCCAAAAAAAAAGCAGCCTTTTGTTAACATTTTACTGCGCAAACTGAATTAATAATAATATTAAACATTCTTTACTATGTTTCGTCGAAATTGGAATTCATTTTTCATTTGTCAAAAGTCAAGTAAATAATTGATAAAATAGAAACTGGGTCTGAGGAAAGGGGAGGGGGGGGGGGGGTCATTCAGTTGTATGAATTATTGAAAAATAAAGATTGATTATACATAATGTCTGATACAAAACTAAGACTCAATTTTAAAAAAAATACCTTACTCGCCTCGCTCGCTGGCAAGCCCCGGCCCAAAAACTGGAACAACTGGGCTTAGATCCTTTCTTCAAATTGCCCATGGTAAGACACATCCCCCCTCTCCGCTTACGCCTATAGCTACAAACTTAAAATTCTTTGAATTAAACAAAAAAGGATGAAAAGAATGTCATGACGGGGGAAGCACAGCGCCCCACTGTTTCAAGAACCCCCAGTGTCCCTTTTTACATAGGAAAAGTGCTAGTTTCCTTTGACAACTGTCCCTAAACAAGTACCTCAAAAGTACCATTTTTACATGGGAAAGTGCCCCTTTTACTTTGACAAGTGCTCCTACTACATGTACTTCATAAAAGTGCCCCCTTCTCTTTTCAACTCTGTGCCCCTTTTATTTTGACAAGTGCCCCTTCCCCTTCTCATAATAAACCTTTTTCATCCCTGACAAGTGCCTCGTTTATTTTAAAACGTGCCTCCTTTTCTTTTTCCCACCTTCTCATACCGGTAAAAGCCCCCCTTTCTCCTCCGATAAATGCCCCTCTTAAAATCTGTCGTTGCTCATTTTCTTTCAACAAAGGCACATTTTACTTTATTATAAGTGCCCCTTTTCATATCTGGTCAGTGCCCTTTTTGTGGTGCAATAAGTGCCCATTTCACCTTTAATATTTCCCCTTTTAACAATGATACTGGCCTCTTTTCCTTTCTAATGAGGGACCTATCCCCTTTTCATAAAGGCCCTTTCGATGACTGCCATGTCCCCTTTTCCTCTCATCAATAAACGTGGCCCTAATTTAAAGCGACTAAGAGCAATTTCCCCAAAAGTTCATCATTTTATAGATGATTATGTTATTTATTAAGGGTCTTTTCAGTCTTCCGTTATGAGAATGTGCTTAGTAACCCAATTAGGATTGGGTTTTTTCCTCTTTATCAGATGTAATTTTGAGCACCGCGGCCTCACAAATCTTAGAAAATTTCCTCGCTCGTAAATGAATATTGAGACCATCACACCCAACTGCAAAGTATATGATGCTTTAGGATTATCTTGTATGAGCGATGTATCAAGAGAAACAAATATTGAAATCATTCCTGATAATGTAATCACAATGTAAGAGTAATATACCAATGCGTGAAAAAAATTGTATATTATCGCTTTGAGATTTTCCTTTGCCTAGGTGCCCTTTTTTCTTCAGAAAGTTCCTTTGTTGGTCCCCCCACACTTTGGAAGTCGCTCCGCCACCCCTTCCTTTATTGAGTCGTGATGACAACCAATCCTCGATTCTCTCTTGATCACCTCCCCCCCCCCCCCGCTCCCCCCCCTCTCTCTCTCTCTCTCTCTCTCTCTCTCTCTCCCCTCCCTCCCTCTCTCTATCCCTTCTCTAGCTCTCTCCCCAAGCTATTTACACTCGTTTCTTCTTGTCTGCATGGTCCTCGATCATATAGTTATGATCATTTTTGTTTGTTTTGTTGTTGTTGTTGTTTTAATATGTAATTGTTTATCATAGCATTATGTTTGTGAGCGCTTAGAGACTTCGGTGGTAAGCGCTTCAATTTTAGCCCCGTTTTTATTATTATTACTATTATTATTACCATCTATACTGCATGATGATTATAGCCTAATTCGGTCCCCTGGGTCGATCTGCCTATATAATACCCCCTAAATATAGGACAGACCTTTACCCAAAAAATTGTAGATTATTGCCTCAAATCTATTACAATAGCATGAACAGTACTAATTAATCGAAAATATGATTATTAGCTTAGCCTTCAAAAGTTCAAATTCCTACTACCTTTGACGTTACATAATGTCAGATCTATCTGAATTTTGTTAGTAACTATTTTGCAAGGCCTACAGGATAATGGTGTCAAAATTATTGACTATAAATATTATAGGCTATCCTGGGTATAAAATAAAGAAAAGAGGACAAATAAACACATTGTACTTCATGATTATATATAATGGTTTATTTATTCAAAAAATCACATTGCAGCCCAAAGGCTGAATTGCACGATTTTTTTACAAATCTTTGACATAAAAACAGATTATAATGAACATTGTAAAAAGCATTACACAAAATAATAACTGCATACAAAATTAGTAACGCAATAATATTCAACTAATATTCTTTTACATTTTAAACCGAAATAGCTAGGATTATCAGATGGTATAAAGGCACATAGATTAATAGGTGATCAGGTTGAGAGAGGGAGAGAGATAATCAAGAAGGGAGAGAAAAAAGGTGGGAGTCAGAGAGGAAGAACTAGTGTTGGAAGAAAAAATACCATAAGGTAAAAACTAAGAATCAGGAGTAACGAAAGCCAGATTATACTCTATTATAGTTTGTTACATGTGATTTCTGGAACAAATAAACTTGATACTTTATACTTAATGAATAATTGTGTTTTTCTTCGTCAATAATCTCTGCCGAGACAAGTCACGTGTATCCTCGCATGTTTGTCATAGATTTCGTAAACAGTCGTTTCTAACAAAATTCATGTAGCTCGAAACTACGTAGGAAAAGAATTTGCAAGCCCCGTATACAATAACAATAGCACTAGCACTGCATGCATAGGCTGTGTACTTGTGTAACGTACAGCATATTGCACAAGCACTAATAAGCTCCCGAGCACATCACTCACACAGCGCGCTGGCCAGAGATCGGAACCAGACTATACAATTTTAGCGAGCCGGTTTCATATTAATATAAAATCGGTATAATCTATTTCCTCAACGTAAACTCAAACTTGTGCAATATGGAGGAATCTTGCAAAATTAAGCGCAGCATAACTGAAGGAAGTGAGAAGGAAAAGAAGGAGCCTAGAAATACGAACGAAACACCATCAACATCTGCGAGTACGAGTTCAACTTCAACTCCCCAACAAACCAACCCGAAACAACAGACGAATCCTGAGATTATATTTCACCAACCACCGAAGAAAAAGCGCAAACGATCATTTTCTCCGGTTAACTCAACTTCAAACTTAACATCATCATCATGTTCAGGGCCGTCGGGCAGGAGAGAAAATACGCCTCCCATAGACGTTATGGTTCACAGTTTGATCCGTCAGTATCATTCGGATGGTGTGGGTGGCTCACCAGCGGGCGGCAGTGGATCGTCGGTGGGACAGAGCCCCATGAGCTCTCCTCAGCCGCCGCCTCCTCCTCCTTCGCTCAGTCCAAGGGGCGGAACATCGTCACAGGTCCGACGATTGGGCAGTCTGGAAGGTACAGGGGTAGGAATCTTGCGAGATGGAGCTGGCTGGCCAGGGTTTGGGAGCGAAGAGGAGATGGGAATGAGCTCTAGTGGAGCAGAAGAAGATGAAAGGAACAATAAATATGCTGGTAAGTATTTTGTGTGTTGTCATGGTTGTGCTTCTTCCAGGGAATTAATTTAAGGGAAAGTAGAAATGTGATTGTGAGTGACATGAAAATGAAATTATCCAATTGATTACTGTAGACTTTTCTAGGCCTATTCAAATGAGAGAGCTGAGAGATTAGTTATTTCTCAATCTTAAAATCTACTCATTTCCTCATGTTATAGATTGATAAGTAGTCTATTTAATTTTAAGAGTTGGGGACTTAGAGCTTGTTATGTTATTCTAACCTTAATTTAACCAAATTGTAAGTTTGTATCAAAAGTTGCTTTTCTTCATTAGGAAATTATTTGAATTTTACATGATTTTGGCTGTTTATTAAAAGGCTGCAGCGTATTGAATAAGAAAAGCATCTGGAGTTAACAGCTAGTTGGCATAGGATCATCCTTGCAATTGTGTTGCACAAGAACAAAAGGTTCTTATAAGGAATGTGCTGAACTTCTGCAGAATGCACACACCAAACCATAAAATATGCACAGCATTTGATTTGACTCTTTTCATACAAAGCTCATGGAGAAAACCACACCCCAGCTCCAAGAATTTACATTGGTGACAACGCGAATACCGTAGTCAGTTAGTCTGGAACTACTCTAGAGTCTAGAGGTCTAGTGGGACTATTGAAAATGATTGTACAGGTGTTTCAGGCTATGCGGAGAGCATGTATAACATATTTCAATGAGTGATTTAGCTTTTAACCGACCTTTTTTATGGAGGGGGGGGGGGGAACTGAGAATGTAATGATGACTACAATGGAGTGGACAGCATTAATCCTGTTGTATTTACATGTAACTATGCATGTTTCTTCCTTTCTCTGAATAGAAGGAATCCGCCTTGCATATCATTAGTTGTTGCTGTTTCAAGCAAACCTCATGCATCCTTTGGGGTCTCAAATAACAAGGATATCTTTTGTTTGAGAAAGTTCATCGAATTTAAATTCATCATGAAATGGCCTCCTGTGTTTAGAATGCAGAGTAACTCTGAAAAGATGGAATCCACCTTGCATAGCCTAAGTTGTTGCTATGTCATACAAACCTCAAGCATTCTTTGATCCTTTGAGGCCATTAAGGTAGAGGATATATTTTGGTTGAGAATGTTAATGAATTTAAATAATTTTGTCATTAAATTGACTTGTGTTAAGAATGTAGAGAAACTCTGAATAGATGGAATCCACCATGCATACAATTGGTTGTTGCAACGTCAGACAAACCTCAAACATTCCTTTTAAGCTAAAAGATCGAGGATATCTTTTGTTTAAGAAAGTGCTTGGAACTTAAATAAGTTAATCATTAAATAGGCCTGTGTCTAGAAATAAGCATAGATTGTGTAGGCCATGAATGCCATACAGATTTACTTTCTTATAATGCAGGCAGTGTGTACATGTACATACTGATACTAGGACAATTGTCCACTGGACGACCCCCCCCCCCCCAAGGACAATTAACCCTCCACACATACACACACCCAACACGCACCCAACACACACTTACACACATGGAAATGGTGATTGTCCTGGGGGGGGGGGGGGGGTAATTATCCTAGGAGGTACATGTTCATGTAATTTGCCCTTTAAAAATATGGGGGGGGGGGGGGGGGAGTGATACATCATAACATACACTGTACTTACATTGTAGTATACTGCTGTACCTGTGGTATTTATTTGAGGGAAAATTTTAACATGTAACTGTAGGAGTATTGAGTAATAACCTAACTTGTTTTATAGGTGGATCATAAAATACGTTTTGAATTACCTTACCGGTATTCATTTGATTGACTATTTTTTAACTTGTAGGTTTTGAGTGGCAGTGGGACGACAATGCCAAGTCCAATGCATGCTGCCTGGCCAAGATGAAGACGGAGGTGAGGTTCCATCTAGACTACAGCTGTGGTACGGCAGCGGCCAGGGGCTCCGAGAACATGAGGGATGGCCAGTTCTTCTGGGAGGTCAAGATGGTCTCGCCCGTCTATGGCACAGACATGGTGAGATTTTAATAATAATAATATTGGGTTCTTGTATAGAGCTCTACACTGTATCTGTCAAACTTAACACTTGAGGCACTCCCAATTATTACCCTGGCTTTAGCACAGCTGCCATGACGGTGCTCTAGCATTTCAAGGAAATTAATTCCTGCTACATGTAGGTACCCATTTACATCACCTGGGTTGAGTGTGGCAAATGTAGATCAATTTCTTGCCAAAGGACATAAGTGCCGCAGGGGGACTCGAACCGCAGACCTTGTGATTGACAGTACGGTGACGTATCCACTCGACCATGACACCTAGATTTGGATCAAGGATTTTGTACTTCAATAAGATTCTTAAAAATTATATCTCTATACATAGCAATATAGCAAAGATTTATGAACAATCCAACCCAAGGCAGTTTGGATAGCCTGTTTGTCTCATATTGAAATGTGCAAATATTACAATAATATAATGTGTTCCGAACTTGGATGTATAGGACAAGAGTTTGAAATTGTCTTCGAGTTGATATCTCAAAAGCCTTTGCGATTATGTTACATGGACAACTTTCTCCTTGCGAAAACTGCTTCCTTTGTCGTTAATTGTGTAAGGAGGGATATTAAGGGAGATATTAAGGTCTTAATTGTCCTGAAGGGTAGTAGGCCAGATGGGAGGGGGAGGATCTCCAGGGATTTAGTTGTCCTTAAATCTAAGCAGTGATTATTATTTACTAGTATAAAGTTTTTTTGCCTGCTACATGTTAGAGGTCCTCATGAGTTATTTGTTTAGAAGATCAAGTTCATCATTTCATCTTTTGATAAGCGAATAGGAAATAAAAAATAGGTTTCTTGTGACCTTTGCAAAATCATTTTTCAACCTTAAAAAAAAATGAAAACAATGTAACTAAACTGTCCAAGCCCCAGTGACTTGTCCACTAGACCAGCGCAAATCTGTTAATGTCACATTGTATACCTCTGTCACTGTTATACATGTAGTTTTATGAAACAAACAAAAATCAGTGAATTCACCTTTGGCTGTGTTTAAAATCCATTGCAGATGATAGGTGTCGGTACCCAGCAGGTTGACCTGAACCAGTACTCCAGAGCCTTCTGTAGCATGCTAGGTCATGAGCCCAGCAGCGAGAGCTGTGGACTCTCCTACACTGGTCGCTTCCAGAAGGGAGGCATCGGTCGTATGTACTGCAGCAAGTTCGGCCAGGGAGCGATCATCGGCATGCACTTGGACATGTGGTTCGGAACTCTCACCTACTACAGGAATGGAAAACATCTAGGTAGGTGTATTTCAATCTTAAAGGCCCACTGTACTACTTGTAGCTACTTGCTCCCTCTATATATATAGCAAACAATGCCTAAGTGGTACCTGTTGGTCCCCCATGATCCCCTTTTCTTACGATAATTGACAGCCGATTTGATGAGATAATCACCTGTCATTGACCATGCAGGGAGGTTTAATCCCTAGTGGACAAACTAGTGCAGATAGGCTTTAAACAGTTCTACATGTAGACAGAGGCGTGATGGCTCAGCGGTAGAGCAGTGGTCTTTTAACCGGGAGGTCTTGGCTTCACAACCAATTTGATGCACTAGTGCCCTTTGGTAAGGCATTAACCGTCATTACCAAGTCCCTAGGAGAGAACCTGGTTGCTTACTTAGAAGCACATGCATGCTTTCTTTTAAAGGGCCCATGACATCGAAATACAAGTTCTCAAGTTAGCTCATTGATGACTGACAGATGATGTCACAAGGGGAATGAGATCTGGAGGTTTTTGGGGTAGAGCTTAGCAAGTTTGAAAAACAAATATTTCAAGACATATTTAAAAATCTATGAAACAAATTCAGAAGTTTAGATATCAAAATATGAGATGTATGCAGGACTGCACACCAACAGGAATACACTTGTATTTCGATGTCATTGGGCCCTTTAATAGCAGTCAGGTTAAACAAACAAACAAACTAACCAACATAGAACTTTTATTTCTTGTGAATACTCCTTTAAGGTCATTTTAACTTTGGTAATGAAAGATAACAATCTGTCAACAAATTTTCCAAACCAAAATACAAGTAGAAATTATTTTAAGCGGGACTGCACTACTTATAGCTACTTGTGCCTTCTATATATAGCAAACAATGCCTAATCAGTGACTGTTGGTCTCCCATGGTCTCCTTTTTCTTATGTTAATTGAGAGCAGATTTGAAGAGATAACCACCTGTCAGTGACCATGCAGGGAGGTCTAATCCCTCCTGGCCAAACTAGTGCAGATAGGCTTTAAAGGTTTTAGTTTGTAGAGGAGTATAGTACAAGATACTAATGAAAGGGAAACAATATTTCTTTTCATGCATAAATATTGTTTTCTCTTCATACCATATGTGTATTTAGAAAAAAAAGTATTAAAAAGACATTTTTTACAGCAAATATTTTGTTTAAAACAAAACCTAAACTATTGAATTGAAAATCATTAAGTATGATACATGGATTGGAATTGATTCTTAACTTTTGTGATTTGCAGGTGTAGCGACTAGGAATCTCCTGAGTAAGACGTGGTACCCCATTGTCAGCTCCACGGCAGCCCGGTCCAGCATGAGGTTAGTCAACACCAAATCATTCCCCAGCAACCTGCAGTTCTGGTGCTGCCAGGCCCTCAGGAAAGCCGTCCCTCCCGAACACAACGTCCTGGACGTGGTCCCGCTTCCCCCGGGCCTCAAGAACTTTCTGGAGGACAACCTGTCGTGGCTGCTCAGGGCCCACGTGGAGAGCAAGACGAAGGAGACGCAGACGGTGCTTAGCATGATGTCCAAGCGATGGAAAGAAAAAATGGACCCGGAAGAGGAGGATGTATGATGGATGGAACCGATGCCGTCAAAGACTTCCTAGAAAGACGGTAAAATCTGTTTGGAGATGATGCTAATGCATGTAACTTGTTAGTGTCAACGGTTGGTTGTCATTTTCTTGCCATGCTTAGCATGATGTCCAAGCGATGGAAAGAAAAGAAGGACCCGGAAAAGGAGGAGGATGTATGATGGATGGAACCGATGCCGTCAAAGACTTCCTAGAAAGATCATGGTAAATCTGTTTGGAGGTGATGCTGATGCATGTAACTTGTTTAGTGCCAACGGTTGGTTGTCATTTTCTTGCCATGCTTAGCATGATGTCCAAGCGATGGAAAGAAAAAATGGACCCGGAAGAGGAGGATGTATGATGGATGGAACCAATGCCGTCAAAGACTTCCTAGAAAGACGGTAAAACCTGTCTGGAGATGATGCTAATGCATGTAACTTGTAATAGTGCCAATGGTTGGTTGTCATTTTCTTGCCACAGAAAAGATTTTGATAGTCGCACAGTCCTCAAATACTGTCAGCCTGCATGGAAACTTAGCCATCCTACTTCTGAATTCTGGTAGATTTGTTTTGGGACTAGTCGAGGACTGATCGGATTGAAACAAGCGTAACGTGTGCTTCACTTAGCAGCTTTCGGTTAGTACGAAATGCAATTAACCCAAGATATTTTTTTAGTATTAGAGATTTTTAATTCAAGGAAGGCTTCTCTGGGAGATTTTAGCTGATAGTACTTCAGATAGCTTGTCAACTGAGATGATATTTTAATTCCATTTTGATCAAAGAAAATACAGTGTTTTGGGACAAAACATGTTGGTTAAAGCACCAAGGCAGGCATTTTAGAAATGGGGGAACCTTCTTTGGGAATCTGCAATTCAAATGTGTAAAAGTGAAGTTAAGATCTATATCAGTCTAATTAATTGAAACAAATAACAGTACCTGACATGTACGTGGATGTAAATTGCACTCTTAATTACGTCATTGTACAATGAAACGGGAATGGTGACAACTTCTAAACTCAAATTGTACATATAACTGCACCTCACTCATAATCCTTCGACAACCCTTTGATTATACAGATGACCATGTTGCACAATCATACTGAAAGTTTAAAGTTCACCAAGAAGTCAACGGTTTAATGTTCTTTGTCCAGATTGATCAGTGTCGTAACAAAAGTAAATGCTATTCAAATCATGCCTGAGGCATGTACTGAATATTGATATTGAAATCACACAGAAACATTGTAACACAAATACATGAACACAGTATGTTTACAGTGGTGCTCTTAAATACCAAATTAGCTTTAATACCACAGAAAGTAGAGTTTTTGTATTTGAACCTGTCCTGGGGGGTGTTTCACAAAGATCCTAAGTTGAGCTTATCTCTAAGTTGGACTTAACAATTATGGAAAGCAGTTAACATCTTAGACAACATTTTATAAAAGATATTTTAATAGGCATAACATGTTGATTCAAATCATTCACATTTTCTATTATCAAGGAGATTTCACGATCTTGATGTGGAATTTATGAAAAGTCTTAAATACTTGAATTTTCGCTTTTTAATATATTTATTTTAAGGCTACAACTGGCTCTCCATAATATGTAAGTCCAACTTAGAGTTAACTTCGACTTAGAGTCTTTGTTAAACACCCCCCTGATCCATTATATTTGCATTATGGACACCATGCTTGTGCTAATTAAATGTAAATGCTGATCAGTACGGCCATTTACTACCAGTTTGTTATTCTAGGATTGCACTATTGATTCACGTTATCAGATACCAATCGTTCTACCCAGTATGGAGAATAAGAAAATGAAAAAAACACTGCCACCAATGCCCACTATACTGTTTTCTTTTCTCAACACATAAAAGAAGTTGGGATTTACAAAAAGGTACCAAGAAGTAAGATACAGTCTTCAGAGCAAAAATCGTTAGTGGATCCTTTCGGTTAACATGATCTAAAAATGTGACACTGTGACGTTAATATCTAAGTGCTTGTTTTAAGTTCTGGCTATTAAAAAGCAGGATTATGATTGTTCCTGAAGGTATTCCTTGAAGTTTTTTGCTTCTTGCTGACCATGTTGTGCGGCATGTGGCCACTCCACATGGTCAGAAACCTGTCGAGGTATCTTTTTGAATGATCATCCCCCAATACATGACAGTGTCTCCGTCTTTGTGAAATCTTCCAACATATATCTTCAGAGATTTTTTTTTGACGTGCCTGCAGATGTTGATGGTTAAGGGGGGGGGGGGTGTTATTACACAAGAAGCTCAATTTTGCAGTGCTTACTATTACAACTTCATCGCAGAAAAATAAGCGACTACAATTGCTGCTTCTGGTTTTCTATGACATCTAAACTGACGTGAAATTCTGATGAAACAAAATTTAAGTGTTTATATTTTTCCCTGGCATAAACAGACCTACAAACATGATGTAATTACTTGACCAGTTAAAGGATACAAGATTATTTTAAGAAACATTAAGAAAAGATTAATTTATAAATTCACATGTAATTGTTTCAATGGATGGAGTTGAATGCAGCAATATACATGTAGCCTGGGAAGCTATTCATTAAGAAATCATTCTTGGCCAGTGCTTGTTTGACTAAATTTGAAATCAAGAACTATATTGGTTTGCGTGCAATGGAAATTTTTAACATTTGTAATTATAGTATTTTTATATCGCTGTGTACATTTATGATTTCTTTTTCAATGTAAGTTCCTGAAAATATGTAGTATGTTTCCCAATATGAACAGTACGAGTCCCTATCAGAGCCACCCCCTTTATGGCAAAAAAGAGGACAGTTTAGCAGTATAAAATAAAAACGCTTTTGGATAAATTTTCTACCTATGGCTTGGGTCCGAAACGGGCTTTAAAAAACTTACTACAATACCACCAGCTTTTTCTAGCCTGTGTACTCATATACGTCATCTTTAGCGCGAAAAAAATTAATAGAAGAAAACGTTCAACTTTTTATTCTATACATCACAAATGGTAGGTTTTAATTTCCTTTTTTTTAAAGAGTAATGATGAATGTTTTTTACTGTACATTTAAAGAGTAAGAATGGAATATATTATAGATTTTTAATCATTTAATATTTCACTGTGACATGTTTAGCTAAAGGTCATTTAATTAACACTAACACCTGTTATAAATGTAGCTTATATGTGATAAGTTACGTTGTGAATGATTACTTGAATTAATAAATCATGCTTGCATTATTCTGAAACCCATACATAAAAAAGGGTAATTCAACATCATATTTGATGCTGCTTAGTTTTATTGTAAAGTCTGTTGCTTTATGTGCCTTGAAATAGTGTTGCAAGTTGAAGCAGTTGTAATTGTTATAGAATGAAGAAAAAAAGTAGTTGCAGGTTGTGAATGCTACCGACTTCAATTTGTGACAGTAATTTTGCAGTTTTTGGATAATTTGTCAGCTCTGCTCCAATATAGAGTATATGGTAAAATCTTAAATTTGTTTGTCTCACTTTGGTTTTTTTAAATTTCATTTTGCTGTCAGAGAAATATAAGTATGCTCGTCAGAGAATCACCTTGTTCAATATTGAAAAAACATGTAAATGTACACCATTTTAACACGTGTATCATAAGCAGTACACTTAAGGACGTTCCGCAGTAATGTTTGTGCACACCCTTAGTTGCGCAGGGCCAGCTGATCATGTATTTACGATGCACATTCCATGATCTCAAGGCATTGTGCATGGCGGGTACAAACATGTACTGTAACCAGCTGGCCCTGTGCAGCTAAGGTTCATGTTAGACTGCGTATGAACATTAATGCGGAACATCCAAAATTGCCAGATTTTTATTCATGAATATTTTCCTTTTAGTCAGAACTTCTCGCATTGCCCTATGTCACTATTTGGGGTTTGTTACATTAATCTAGCATCTCATATGAAATATTCTGCAAATATATAAATAATGTGTAAAACAATGTAGAAATAATAATTAGTTTTTAAAGTGGTAGCATGAAGAAGTCCTCTGGAAGGTACACAAAAATTAAGATTTTTTTTTTTTTGGGGGGGGGGGGAAGAAAAAAACCATCGACACACAACACATTTGAAGGATTGCAGCGCTGGCGCAGCATGCCTTCTCTTTAATTGACCATTTACCTTTTTTTTTTAAAAAGAATTCAACAAAAATCAAGTCATATTTCCGACAAATTAAAAGAAAAAAGTATAACAAATTCAACAAAATATATATAATTCACCATAGTACATTTGTGTAGCCACCTTTAGGGGAGGTAAAAGGCACATATTTATTGTAAACGATAAAGGTATATTAACATCTATGTTGTATTGATGCAAGCAAGAACAGTGTTCATATACATGTCGTAGATAAGATCTTATTCTAAAAATCTCGGTCGCACAGGATTATCATTTTGACAGAAGTATTATGAATGATCGCCACCTGTTGTTGTCTATGGATGGAAATGTAATGAGCTGTACATAATGTATTAAATGATGAAGCTGATATTAAATCAAGTTGTTAGATGTTCTTCATTTGAATCCCATCGGTGTGAATGATGATGATGGGCGATAAGCCAGTTCATAGATACAATCTGCACATGGGCAGATAAAAGTCATTTGTACCATTATTCATTTATGCACCAACGGTACAATCTATGATATGCAGGTGGAAGTATTCTTTTCAAGAGGACAAACAAAAGGTATTCATGAAGCACATCTAGGACTTTGGCAGTTATTATTCTGAGATGCTCAAAGTGGAACTTCTCCATGTGTAAAAGATCTGTGGATATTTGGGGTCATTTGTACCATGTGCTATCTGTAAACTCCCATATGGCAGACAGTGTGTCCTGTACCAGTGAACTACATGTGACATATATCCATATACAGTGAAACCTACTCCAGTGGCCATCTGTATAGAAAGGCCATTTGGAGTAATGTAATATTTTATTTGGTCTGTTGTTGGTCTGGTGTGTTGTCCAGATGACTGAGGCACTACTGTGACACAAGTTACACATATACAGATCAACTGCATATTGAATTATGCACAAACATCTCTTAGTGACTGACACAACATATCATCTGAAGGAAACAGCATATTTGATAAATAAATATATCATACAAAGAATTTATAGAAAACAAATTTTCCTTCACTGCATATACATTGCAACGTAACTTGGCATCTTAAGTATGAATAACAAACTTGTCCACCTTTCTCAGCTTTTGGACCTGGGCGGTGTTTCATCAACTAAACAGTACTGAACCTGTTGCGAAGTAGTTCAGAGCTACAAACACCTTCAACGCGGGCGGTATGGCATTGCCCCTGAGTGTTTTGTTGTCTATCTCGAAATTAAGAAGTCCAGTTAAATGAAGGACTCCT